ACCTCCCGCACAACAGTCCAGCGGTCTATCCATTGAGCTAACCGGGAGGCGGTTTATGGTACTTCATGGTACTACTACATGGTACTTCATACCATTCGCGTGTATGGCAGCACCCCCACGCGCGTCAAGCGCGTGTAATGCTGAGGTACACACGAGCGGTACTGTAATTTACTATTAACATTTTAAAAACATTCCATCTTGCCGAACGATAATTTTGCGATTTTCTTCAGATTGTTAACATCTCGGCCAACGGATAAGTATTACGGGCGAAAAAAGCATCCTTCTCTTACCCTTCTTGTAGCTTCTTCAATCTCATCCAAAGAATTCGTGGACCCTGAGAAGCACTCTGATTCATCATCATCTACCTGACGCCGCGCCTCTCTGTCCGCTCGATCAAGTGCAGTAGTCGGCAAAGATGTCACTTTCACGTCAGCCCTTGACAGCTGCTTCTCCAAAAGATTCTCCACCACAATATTCCGCGTCTCCTCCTTGTGTGACAAAGGGAAGCTGGCTCGTGTCTCGTGCGGAGGTGACTCACTGCCCTTAGCAGCTGATTCATCATACAAGTTTTTCCCCGTGGATCGCAGTTTGAATCCCCCGACAGGCAAACCTGGAAGGACGAGTCCTGGTCCCCTAGGAGGACCCCTAAGAGACTCGTTTTCCAAGGAAGTACTCTTAGCAGGAGTGTCCTCCACGTCCCCATTAGACACTTCATTATCTCCAAATATCTACAGAGAAAATCATGTCAGAAAATCATTTTCTGGTGATAAAATACCCATTGTGCAGACACTGAGAACATTTCAAAAGTTTCTCTGATAATCTTTGGAACATGGAGAGAAACATTAACAGCATGCAAAATACTTTTTATGATTGAGTGTTTTATATAATAAAACCAATAAGGTGATCACTTCAGCCACAGGAAGCTGATAAAAAGTCAACAAGGCTTCAAGACCAGCCTGAGCGACTATACTGTAGCAGCAGTTCACGCGCGAGAAGCGCGTGTAATGTTTGGGAATTGCACACGCCTTAAACCAGTAAAGATCCCCGCATGTAAAAGGAAAATTACACGCATGCGCCAGAATCAAAGATATAGTCTCACATGATACGCATCATCATCCAGCGACTTTCCCCAGCTTGCACGAGTTGGTTTATATTTCTTCTGCTGTGCTTCAGCCAGTCTTTTTTTCTCCAAAAGATGTTCATTACTGAGTGTTTTTGTGGCTGGGATGCTGTTCAGATCCAAATCACCTTTTGACGCGCACTCTACAACTGGCTCTAATTAACAGAAAAAAAAGAGTTTATTACTCATAAGAGATGTGCCATTTTACAGTTTCAGGTTCCACATACAGTGTATCATTATCATAATTTAACATATGTACACTTTCTTGTTTTCTGATGTTTCTCAATGTCCTGCATATATTCTTGATTAGCAGGTAAGTATAAATACACTCAGACTAAAACAGGCCAGTGATTGTGGGGCTGTAAAACTTTAACCCTCTACTTCTTTCTATGGAATGCTAGTAGGTATTCATGGATTGATGTCTCACCAGAATCTATTTGTTAATCGGGTAATAGATCCATGATTATTAATCAGATCACATGTTACCTGTGACATTTTTTTTTTCAGCTGAATCCCAACTAAAGTGAAAGTTTGACAAAGCTTGCTCTACTTCAAAAGCAAGTCCATTCTCTACAACTTCCTCTTGAACCTCCTCTTTCATTTTGGTATCAGGCATAGAATTCTGTTCTTCAATTCTCACTGGAGCTGATATTGTTTCTTCTTATTTCACATCTGTTTCCTTTTCAGACTTTTGCTGTAATTGAACCCTCTTCAATTGGGTCTCCAGTTCTTTAACCTATTTTAGAGGTGAGAGGTGATTCATTTATTGCAGACTTAAAAAAAAAAACAAAAAAAAAACTCAAAATTCACAAGGCTGGAAAAGAAATAGAAAAATGGCAGTGAGCACAAGTAAAAACAACAGAGCGACAGAAATACATGTTAGTTAGCCTTCTGAGCTTGGGATATGAGACTTTACACACCCACTTTAAAATACCACATTTCTTTGTTAGCTAACAGTGAAAATTTACTTTCAAATAAGGTCACAGAGTCTACTATACATATCTTGTACACAGCTACAGTACATAACACCACAAACAGTCTTAATTTGCACACAACATAAGAACCCAAACTGCTAAAATTTAAGCAAACATCATAACAAAAGGTAACAAGTTTTACACAAATTGTACTTTCCATAACTCACTGACATTAATTCACATTACAAGTACCCACCTTATCTTGTAATAACTTTATTTCAATAGCAGATCTTTCAGAAGACACAGCATTTGCTTGCTCTCTACCAGAACAACAAACATAAAATTGCACATATATCTAAATCACTTCCTCTGGCTTACACTTGTACCTCTCATGTATTTGTTAATAGGCCTTACAGTCTATTTGCATACACATACTAAAAAAATGGTGCATTCCATTACACCCGAGGGAGTAAAAAGTATCCTGCTAGAGAACAGAATGACCCCATCAGGATTTGATTCTCCACTCCACCTGCTACACATTTCTTTGTCAATTAGTCATGAGAATTTGGTGTCAGATCAAGATCATAACTTCTTCCTGATACATGTAAGTTTGAGCATTTTCATTACATGTTTGGTGAATAATGTAATGGCATATTATAGTGAGAAGTGAAACCGTCTCCCAGTTAGCCCAATGGATAGAGCGCTGGACTGATGTGCGGGAGGTCGAGGGTTCGAGCACTGGCAGGACCAACACCCAAGGTCTTAAAATAATCGAGAAGAATAAATTATGCTACCTTTCTATAACATCAAGAAATGGTTTAGATATTCTAGTCTTCTCAGATAGGGACGAATAAATGGAGGTCCAGTCTCCTGCAGGGTTAGGGGTAGGAGACGTTAATTTTCCACACATGAGATTACTGTGTAATGGATATCCTCCCCTGGGATGGGATGTATGGGTTGTTGTCTTGCGTTTCATACATGAGCCTTTGGCTCGGGCAATATGGGTAACCATGCCCCACGTAAAGACATTAAACTTTGATTACTATTACTTCTTGGAGTAAAGGAGTTAATCTGAAACCAGTGAGTCAATGGGCTATGCTGTGTAAGAAAAAAAAAAAAAAAACACAGCAACAAGTACTTTTACTACTTTTATAAGTCAAATTACCTGTCTTCAAGTTCCTTCACTTTATTCTTGGCCATATGATATTTCTTCTCCAATATGAGATACAGTCCTTTGCTTTCTTCCAACTGTCTGACCATGTCTTCATTCTCTGCTTCAGACAGAGCTAAATCTGATTCTAATGAGTTGACTTTTTCTTTCATCTCTGCTAAAGCTTTCTCTGCCTTCTTGGTTTCATCACTGGCTTGTTCTCCACTTGATTCCTAGAGGACAAACATTAACAAATCTCCTTACTGGTCTACATAAAGAGCAAGTTTTTCTAGCTTAGGACAGCTACAAAAATGATGAACACACCATTTACTTTTCCATATTCCATTAACAAAGTATTTTACCACAAGCTAACACCCTGGCCCAACAACTCATAAATTTTGTTGCAAAAAAATCATCACCTTTTCCCTCCAAAATTAGCTAGTTGTCACAATGTTTTTGTAGATGAAGAGATGAAAATGAGAGGAAAGACTTTGTATATAATCCAATAAAGGTGCAGTACTCCTACTCACAGGTTTTTTCATAATGTTTTGAAGTTGAACCATTTTTTCTGCCAGGGAAGCTCTTTTCTCTGCTTCTTCAGCTTTGGATTCAGTCTATGAACAAATGACAGAAACTAAATAAAATAATCAATAAAAAAAAAATGAAACTAATACATACAACAGAAAATATTAACTTGGGGCCTCACCATGAATAATTATTACTACTCCCCCCCCCCCCCTCAAATTTTTTCATAAAAGTTGCTATCATTTGAAGTAATGGCCATTTGTAATCACCATTGAGTGGCCTTGCATTCTTAGGGTCCAACAGCTAGTTTTTGTGAGGAGGGCAGATGAAAGACATTTCAAAAATGTAAAATATTATCTAATTCAGATCAGAGTTGTTTAAATTCTTTCAACCCCATACTTGGATACTTTGTAAATTTGTTAAGATTTGTCAAGTAGTGAGTGTGCCACTGACAATTAAGCTTTGAAATCATCTTCTGAGGAGGCAGTGTGGTCGAGTGGTCAGCCTGTCGGACTCGCAATCCGTCGTTCCCAGGTTCAAGTCCCACTCTGACCAATCCCTGGATTTGTTTCACGGTAGCTCCGAGTTCAAATCCTCGGCCATGCTTGTAAATAGCCAACTGGTTTGCCTCCGGCCAGTTGGGA